GTTTCGGGCCTAGACCCTTCATCTAGGCCCGAAATGTCAGCCTTTCTGCTCCTATGATGCTGCTTGGCCTGCTGTGTTCATCCAGCTCTGCACCTTGTTGTCTCGGATTCTCCAGCATCTGCAGTTCCTACTATCTCTGATTCAATATATATTCTGAGGCAGTTTTCTTACTTGTGAGAAACATGTTGTGAGAAGATAGATAAAATTGAGGAACATGGTGAGCAGGGTAAGATTTAAAATAGGCCTAATTAGCTAACTGTCTCTTTTACTTTTCCTGGAATGATTTTACTTCCATATTGAGTTACTGGGTGGGGTACTGATACTATTTTCATAAAAAGAATAGAAAAGAAAATTGGTGTAAAACCACATGGAGATACTACATGATAGATGAATTTCTAAATACATCTTCTATTTTCCAACATTGTTAATTTTCGGATTAATGGTACAGTACAGCACATGGAGCAGATAGTAAATTCTCACCATTACTCTTCCTGGTGGAGTTGTTGACTATCTCTTTGAATTTCAGTGGGTCACGGATGATTTCTTTAACATCTAAAACCGAAGAGAACTGAGCTGACCCAGCTTCCAAACCATTAATGTACCTAAAATCATAGAAACAGAGTTTGAAAGAAAGTTAGAACACATCCTGTAAGAAAGAATTAACTTTTAATCACATCACAAAGATAGCAGAATGGAGTACAATGCTCCAAGTGTGGGTTAAACAAGGTAAATGGAGACCAAAACTGAGCCCAATGGACCATAGATAATAATAGGTCTATATTTCTTCAATTCCATTAAAGAACTACAGTTATCTGCAATTAGAGACAAAAGCCACTTGGCTCTAGGAATGAGATTCATTCAATCTTGTCAAATTTGAAATCTCAGAATTGAGTTGAGATCCATGTGAAGAGAGAAACAAGTGGCATGGTGACACCATTGATCTTAATCAGAGGAAGGACACATAAAAGCCACCCACCAGAAACAGTATTCCGTGGTCTCTTCTTTCTTGTAAAAATAAGTTGAATTCCACTTGTGTGGCTTTGCATCACTTTCATATTGCCAGAACTTCACAAAAAAATTAGAGAGTTTCCGAGCTGTTGGCAGGATCCTAGTCACATTGGGTCTATAATCACAGGATAACCCAAAGCTTCCAGCAGATACTATGGGGGCTTCCAAACGTGTTTCCAGTCTGTTCAAGAAAAGAAACGAATTTGTTAATTATTTCACATTATCTGGTTCTTGTTATACCCTTTGTTTGTTTCTATCCTTTCTATCTCCTTGTTTTTCTCTCAATTTGACCTCTTTCACACCATAATTTTTATTGCACCATTATTGGCAACTGTGTCGGCTACACACTAATCTCTGGAATTCCCTTTCTAAATCTTCCCACTATCTACCACTCATTCTTTACTTAAGACAGCCTTTCTTCTCCAGTCTCTCCAAATGATTAAAGTCCCAGATCCTTGCTTTGATTCCATCAAATCTTCTCTTCACCCTCTGTAAAGCAACAAATGCATTATTTAAATTCCACAACGCAGACATCCAAGGTCTGTGAACAGTAGCAGCTTCTGCATGTGGAGGTTAAAACTGATTGGCACATGCGGAAGCTCCTAGCAACAACATTGAATCATAAAATCACAGAATCCCTAGAGTTTGGAAGCAGGCCATTTGGCCCATTGAGTTCATACGAACCCTCCAAAGAGCATTCCACCCAGACCCAGACCCTACCCTATCCCTGTACCCTTGCATTTCCCATGGCCAATCCACCCTAACCTGCACATCTTTGGACTGTGGGAGGAAACCACAGCACCCGGAGGAAACCCATGCAGACACAGGGAGAACGTGCAAACTCCACACAGGTAGTCGCCTGAGGTAGAATCAAACCCAGATCCCTGTTGCTGTGAGAAGCAGTGCTAACCACTGAGCCACCGTACTAGTTCTAAAGGCTTGCTCTAAAGCCTTTGGGATATCACGAGATCGTGAAAGGAAACTATTGATTAAATGCAAACTATTTCTTCCTGAAGTGAACATATTCCACCAGCTCAGGCACAGCCAGTGATTTATCAAACTTTAGCGTAATGCAATTGCATGTGTACACTACGGGTCAGAACTCTGCAGAGTTGGGTCAACCTTGGAGGGCTTTAAAAAAGCAGTAAATCAAAATTCAGCAGAGCAATTTGAAATTAGTGCTGAGTTCAAACATTCCCCATTTCCGCTGTTGTAGTTGCCTTAACCTGCAGTGTGGAAGCCGCCAATTTATAGAGGAGGCTTAAACACACTTGAAGGATGGTTAAGATATGTTTCTGTGCCATGATCTGAAGTTAATTCCAAGCACTTGAAAAAATGTGAAAAAACAGACTACATCTTTCAGCTGAACTAAATGAAGACACCGACTGCTGGAGTGCATTGATTAACATGCCAAGTAGTGTAGCTTAGGAAAAGATAGTCAGTTGTTCCATTTGTTGGCATTTCCCAAGGGCTTATACAATTAAACTAATTGTGAGTGCTTGGCTAAGTTTCAAAAGCTCCAAAACCACTTAACTCAGCAGGGTGAGGGACTGTGGAGGGCAATGACTTAATACTTTAATTAGCAATTTTAAGAGGCTATTAAAAGCTTGGCTGTGGCTGATAAATGGAGTTTTATTGTTTTTAAAACAGTTTAGTCTCTTGTGTGGATTAAAACGATTTTAATGAGTTTCATGAATATGATATTTCCAGTATCGAACGTGTAAAACTGAAAATTCTCTGTATGTTAGAAACTATTCTTTTCATCTCTACATGGCTCCTGAGTCTGCGCTTGGTGAAGACTGTGGGAGGGGCGACAAAGATGTCATTAACTATACGAGATACTTTCAAAGTGGCATAGGAGACAAAGAATGACATGGAGGTGTAATGGATTTTTGAAATGACATAGAGTAGTGTGATGACAAGGGAGGAATGGAAGGTATAAGAGGGTATGAAGGGTTGCTAGGGTTTAGGGAGCCTAACCATGTTAAAGTCATAGAATAAAAGCATACGTTCTAATCATAAAACCTTAGTTCTTGGAACACTACCACGGCAGCCTCTGAATTGCCCAAGGTTTCTCTGTTTCTGATCTCTCACTTGCCCTGGCTTTCTATAGATATATTACACTTATTTACCATACAGCGTCCTTTAGTAATGAAGGCTGACAGTCATGCATATTGCTACCTTTTTCATTCTACAAAGTAAAATTGACTGTGTAATTTACTATCAAATTATGGAGGGAGAAAGGCCAATGACTTGGTGCTTTGACGGCATTTTGTACCAGAACATTGACAATCCATGTCTATCTCTCTCTCTCTCTTCAAGTTGAATATAAATGGTTGTAACTACCTACAACAAGATATGCCTCTTTCACTCCAGCACAGAGACCAACTCACACCATAAGGAAGCAGAGACTTACGTGACAATTTGAAATGTTGCATAGGTGCATGTTGGACCCAGAACTGCACAACCCAATGTTTTGTCCTTCTAGATTCGGGAGTAAAGAAAATCAGAATCAGAGGTTGTCAATCTACACTCCCCCTTCTCTTTTCACTGTATAATCACTCCAATTGCTGAGCCAGTCAGGGACGCCTACATCCGATGAGTGAATTAGATCCAATTAGCAACGCTTACATCCTATGAGTGAATTAAAATTAAACTTATAAGGTGCCACTGCACAGTATGAAATCGTACTTGTTAGTGATTAGCTATTTGCTTTCTGTTAGTTAACTGATTTTCTATGCATACTAATACATTATCTGTAACGCCACACACCTTTACCTTATCTTATCGTACTGATTAGCGATTTGAGAATTTTGTCCAATGTCCACTCAGCAATGGAACTTATTTGCATATGGAGTAGTTCAGACAAATAATACATGTGCATACAAGGGGAAGCGAGATTAGAAAAACAATGTTATTAGCCTGTGGGGGAACCATAAACTAAAATAACTAAAATTTAACCCCAAAGAAATTACCAATAATGTTTCACTTTCTGTAACTTCTACTTTAAAACAAATCAGAATCAATGTAAATTAACATGAATTAATAAGTGCATGATACTTAAAATAAAAAGGTAAATTTCACTTTAAATAGTCAATACAACAAAGGTCTCACAGGACCGTAGCACCTCAGTCACATCCTGCACAAATGTGGCACTATCTGGCTGTACACTTTCACAATTTATTGCTCTTCATTCAGACCAGGTAGGTCAGAAGTCTGGTCTGATGACTGCTTTTACATTCTAGTTACATGACATGATTATCATCAGTAAGGTACACTTCTGCAAACCCTCTCTCCCTCAGATCATGACAATCCTAATCGTGGAACTTTCCAACAATTTTTTCAACTGACCAACCAATAACACCCCAGTTCATGATTTGTCCACTTCTGGAAAAACACACAACTCTTCAGCATCCCTAAGCTATTCACTTAATTTCTTAAGGGTTTAGACCTTCTTAGAAAGTTTGAATTTCGCTTCTTGTCTTCTTTCTTGCCAAAGTAAAAAAGAATTCTTCATGAGATGAATTTACTTTTCTCCTCACAAGAATTTGGTAGCCTTTTCTGTCTGTTTTCCCTTTGTGCTTTTCCCTTTGTGCCTATGTCTGTTGCTCATCATCTTCACCCTCCAACTCCTCTGCTTTGTGTCAGCCACATTGCTTCTTTATAACTTTGCAAATGTGACACCACTGTTTAAAAAAGGAGGTAGACAAAAGGCGTGTAACTATAGGCCCATCAGCATAACTTCTGTTGTGCGGAAAATGCTTGAATCTATAATCAAGGAAGAAATAGTGAGACATCTGGATAGAAATTGTCCCATTGGGCAGAAGAAGCATGGGTTCATGAAAGGTAGGTCAAGTTTAACTAATTTACTGGAATTCTTTGGGGTCATTACGAGTGGGGTGGATGTGATGTATCTGGATTTCCAGAAGGCATTCCACAAGGTATCGCCGAAAAGGTTGTTGCATATGATAAAGGTGTGTGGTATTACAGATAATGTATTAGCATGCATAAAAAATTAGTTAACTAACAGAGAGCAAAGAGTGGGTATAAATGAGTGTTTTTCTGGTTAGCAATCAGTGGCTAGTGGTGTGCCTCAGGGATCAGTGTTGGGACCACAATTGTTTACAATTTACAAAAATAATTTAGAGTTGGGGACCAAGTGTAGTGAGTCAAAGTTCACAGATGGCACTAAAATGAGTAGTAGAGCAAAGTTAGCAGAGGCCATTGAAAGTCTACAGGGGGATATAGGTAGGCTAAGTGAGTGGGCAAGGGTCTGGCAGATAGAGTACAATGTTGGTAAACGTGAGGTCATCCATTTCCACAAATGATAGCAAAATGAACTATTATTTAAATGGCGAAAAATTGCAGCAGGCTGCTGTGCAGAGGGACATGGGTGTCCTTTTGTGTGAATCACAAGAAGTTGGTTTGCAGGTGCAGCAGGGAATTTAGAAGGCAAATGAAATATTGTCTTTCTGAAGTGAATGGACTTTAAAAATAGGGAGGTTATGCTGCAGCTGTTCAGGGTGCTGGTGAGGCCACAACTAGAGTACTGTGTACAGTTTTGGTCTCATTCCTTGAGAAAGGATGTACTGGCACTGGAGAGGGTGCAGAGGAGGATCACTAGGTTGTTTCTGGAATTGAGAGGGTTGGCTTATGAGGAGATATTGAGCAAGACTGTGATGATACTCATTGGAATTTAGAAGAACTGGAGTAGGTATCTTACAAAAACATATAAAATTATGAAGGGAATAGATTAAAAAAATGCAGGAAGGTTGTTTCCACTGGCAGGTGAAACTAGAACTAGGAGGCGCAGTTTCAAAATAAGTAGGAGCAGATTTAGGACTGAGTTGAGGAAGAACATCTTCATCCAAAGGGTTGTGAATCTGTGGAATTCCCTGCCCAGTGAGGCTACTTCGTTGAATGTTTTTAAGGCAATGAAAGATAGATTTTTGAATAGTAAAGGAATTAAAGGTTATGGTGAGTGGGTGGGTAAGTAGAGCTGAGTCTATGAAGAGATCAGCCATGATCTTATTGTTCTTTATTCATTCACAAGATGAGGGCATCACTGGCTAGGCAGCATTTATTGCCCATCCTAAGTTGCCCAGAGGGCAGTTTAGAGTCAAGCACATTGCTGTGGATCTGGAGTCACATGTAGGCCAGACCGGGAAAGGATTGCTGTTTCTTTCCCTAAAGGGCATTAGTAGTTTATGGCAGAGCAGGCTTGATGGGCCAGATGGCCTACTCCTGCTCCTATTTCTTATGTTCTGTCCTCACTTGTTATTTGTCGATACTGCTTTCAAGCCAAGGATCACCAGGTCAGGTGGACCATTATCTCTTACTATCCAAAAAGATTCAATATGTTACTTGCAACTGATGCAAACTCGTAAAAGTAATTTTCAAACATTCTTATAAAAAGATTACAAATTCCATAAATATTTTAGAGGAAGGTTGCATAGTGCATAAATACCAGCAGTCAAGCAGTTGAACGGAATTACCTGTTTTTATGTCATAAGTTGTGTGTGATTCAAAAACAGCAAATCTTTTTATTCCATTGAATTCCTTCCCATTGTGAATGAGAGAGACAGGCATTCCATCACTTGCTCCACGTTGCAGTCTTTCAGAAGGTGATGCATCTATTGTTATTGTTTGTTATTCACAGCAATTCTAGTTGCTTCAGGTGACCATGGAGATCATCAGCATATTTAGTTGCGTTGATCTCCATTATTAAATCAGTCTTTGGCTGGCAAAATTTATTTTATTTGTTCTTGGGATGCTGATGTTATTTCATTTATAATCCAACATGAGATGCCCTGAGAAGATGGTGCTGGGAAGCCTTCATGAGGTGCTAATAATGTCTACATTCCACAAGTGTGATATAGTAGGAAGTTACAAAAGGGAAGGATTCATGGTCACAAGGTAAGGGGAATATCTGACCAACATCAGCCACGTTCAACACCATGTTCTTCCCACCCCATTCAACCTGCTGCTCAATCAGAACCTTAGCATGTTTTGAAGAACGTCCTTTTGAGGAGTGGCACTAGGGCCAAGGGAATTAAGGGTTACTGGATAAGGCAGAAAAGTAGAGTTGAGGATTGTCAGATCAGCGAAGACCATATTGAATGGTGAAGCAGACTCAATATCCTACTTCTGCTCCTACATCCTACATTTATCCAAGATGGAGGCAGAGGAGGACACCTGAGCTAGATCTTGTCCAATTTATTTGTTTCTTTTCTGTCTTTTCTCTCTCTTTTCGCTTCTTTTTACCTTTTTCTTTTTACCTCCCATCCTCTGGCAGCATTGGTGATATGCAGGATGAAAACCAGCACAGACTCCCAGCCTCGGCATGGACTTAAACTCCCAGCCTCAGTGTGGACTTGAACTCCCAGCTTCGAGGTGAATCCCAAAAGGGTCTGGTTTGGAAGGACCGTTATTCTGAACTCTTATTTCTCTATTTTTCTAATTTATTGCTGGACTTTTTACTTCTTTATTTTTCTATTTTATTTCCTAAGAATTTGTAATTGAGAATTTGCACCAAGGTACCTCAATATCTAAGATTGTGCCATAAGCAGCGACCTGTAAACTTTTCACTGCACTCATGTGAGTACATGTGACAATAAAGCTAATTTTAATTCATTTCTAATTATGGTCTTTAGGATGGCAATGCCACATGTAAATGGAGATCCCTGGATTTCACATTCCATGCTGCAGTTTACAGAATGATGCCAAGGCCTTGGTCCCTCACTATCAATCCTGATTGTAAGGGTCTGAAATACCTTTGCACCTCATAATAGCCCCTAATAAAGGCAACGGCAAACCTGTCAATTCTCAACGTCAAGACCTTCACAAGACAGGTGATCACTTGGATAAGATCCTTAACCCAAGTCGGGTGTAAACTACTTCCCTTCCATAAGAGGTACAACAACAATTTGTATTTGTACAGCACCTTAATATCATGAAACATTCTGAGGAACTTCACAGGAACATTATAGCAGAAGAAAATGATTGTAAGCCAAAGAAAGGGAAATGAGGTCAGATGATCAAAAGCTTGAGAAGAAAAGGAGGCAGGTGTTAAGAAGTGTTTGACAAGAGGCAAGAGGTAAAATGGAGGGGAGGTTCAGGGAGGTAACTGTAAAGTTTAGGGCCTGGGCAACTGAAAGGAATCTCACCAATGATGGCATAACTGAAATAAGAGATAAAGATGCTAGGATTTGATGAACTCAGAGATCTCAGAGGGTTGTGGAGTTGGAGGAGGTTTCAGAGATAGAGAAAGGTGAGTTAATGCAGGGATATTACTGTGTTGTCATCTAATGTCAACAAGCAAGGCGTGGTACATGAATGGGTCTTGGTGCAGCTAGAGTTGATGAAAATAGACTCCACAAAGAAATAATATAAAAAGAAACATGCCTGTGGAATTAATTCACAAATTATTCTGTTGTTAGCGCATTTAATAAAGTAGATCAGACCTCACGGACTCCTGGATTTGTCCCAACAAACTCCACTGATCCTTGTATAGACTATCAACCAATAGATTTTTTTTTATTCTTTCATGGGATGTGGGCATCATTGGCTGGACAAGCATTCATTGCACATCCCTAATTGGCAAGAGGGCAATTAAGAGTCAACCACACATTGCTGTGGGTCTGCAGTCACATGTAGGCCACCAGGTAAAGATGGCAGTTTTCTTCCCTGAATGACATTAGTGAAGCAGATGGATTTTCCAACAATTGATAATGGTTTCATGGTCATCAGTAGACTCTTAATTCCAGATTATTATTGAATTCAAATTCCATCATGGTGGGATTCGAACCCAGGTGCCCAGAATATTACCTGGATCTCTGGATTAATAGTCTAGCAATAATATCACATCTCACCAGATTAACTGCAATTTCGGCATGACAAGGTATTTTTTGGGAGATTGGGGTGGGAGCTGTAATGAGTTATCAGTTACCATTATTTGGCAATGCCACTGATTTGTTGTACCTTACTGAAAACAAAATTGGGATACAGCAACATGCTTGTAGCTCAAAATTAACAAGAATTTGATTTACAGTGTACTCACATGTAACTTTTTCAGATTCTCCAGACCTTCACAGGCGCTACTCCGGCAGTCTTTGAATTGATACAATGATGTGTCAAAGCCATTAAATGTTGCATCCAATGTCACGTTAAAACCTGAAGTATAAACATCCTTGTTACTATTTCTTCCAAACTCTCCTTGCTTTGCAATTGGAAACTTCTCCTTTCCAAAGTGGACAATATTTTTCTTGGAGAATTCAGACACTGAAAGCCACAAGATTGTACAACTATGGATGGTCGTCCATTCAATTGTGCCTATTCTCTTTATTTCCCTTCTGCTCTATCTCCCCCTTTCTATTACACTCACATTAAGCAGCTCTCCTAACTCTTGTTCTCTGGCCATTATCTTCTCACCCAGTCCCTGCTAGAATGATGGGACTGTTCTTGAGTCAGGGACCCAAGCCTCTATTTTGCTTGCTCATTTATTATTCTTTCCCAGAGCAAACTAATTCAACAGTTGTATATCCCTATCTGGCGGAACAGTAAAACAGGGAAGGTAGCTCAACTGTGGCTAAAAAGGGAAATCAGGGATAGTGTTAAAGCCAAACAGGAGGCATATAAATTGGCCAGAAAAAGCAGCAAACCCTAAGGACTGGGAGAAATTTAAAATTCAGCAGAGGAGGACAAAAGGTTTAATTCGGATCTGAAAATTAGAATATGAAAGTAAGCTTGTGGAAAACAAAAACTGATTGCAAAAGCTTCTATAGATATGTGAAGAGAAAAAGACTGGTGAAGACATATGTAAGTCCCTTGCCGTTAGAATCAGGTGAATTCATAATGGACAACAAAGAGATGGCAGACCAGTTGAACAAATACTTTGGATCTGTCTTCAATAAAAATAACCTTCAGAAAATGCTAGGGGACACAGGGTCAAGCATGAAGGAGGATCTGAAGGAAATCCTTATTAGTTAGGAAATGGTAATGGGGAAATTGATGGGATTAAAACCCAATAACGTCCCAAGGGCCTGATGCTCTGCATCCCAGAGTACTAAAGGAAGTAACCCTAGAAATAGCAGAAGCATTGGTGATCATTTTCCAGCATTCTGTAGACTCTGGAAGAATTCCACTGGACTAGAGGGTAGCTCATGTAACCCTACTCTTTAAAAAAGGAGGGAGAGAGAAAGTGGGGAATTATAGGCCAGCTAGCCTGACACCAGTGATGGGGAAAATGCTTGGAGTCAATTATTAAGGGTGTAACAACAGAGCATTTGGAAACTGGTGATAGAATTGGTCCTAATCAGCATGGATTCAGTAAAGGGAAATCATGCTTGACAAATCTTCTGAAATTTTTTGAGGATGTGACCAGTAGAGTGGTCAAGGGTGAATCACTAGATGTTGTGTATCTGGACTTTCAAAAGGCTTTTGACAAGGTTCCACACGAGAGATTACTGAGGAAAATTAAAGCTCATGGTATCGCAGGTATTGTATTGACATGGATAGAGAATTGGTTGGCAGAAAGGAAGCAGAGAGTTGGAATAAACCGGTCCTTTTCAGAGTGGCAGGTAGTGACTTGTGGGGTGCTGCAGGGTTCAATGCTGGGACCCCAGCTGTCTACAATATACATTAACCATTTGGATGAAGGAATTGAATGCAATATCTCCAATTTGTAGATGACACTAGCTGGGTGGCAGTGTGTGCTGTAAGGAGGACGCTAAGAGGCTTCAGGGTGACTTGGACAGGCTGGCTGAATGGGCAAATACATGGCAAATGCAATATAATGTCGATAAATGTGAGGTTATCCACTTCAGTCGCAAAAACAGGAAGGCAGATTATTATCCGAATTGTGGCAGTTTAGGAAAAGGTGAGATGCAACGAGACTTGGGTGTCACGGTAGAACAGTCTCTAAAGGCTGGCATGCAGGTGCAGCAGGCAGTGAGGAAAGCTAATGGCATGCTGGCCTTCATAGCGAGAGGATTTGAGTATTGGAGTAGGGATGTCTTGCTGCAGTTATACAGGGCCTTGGTGAGGCCACACATGAGTATTGTGTGCAGTTTTGGTCTCCTAGTCTGAGGAAGGACATTCTTGCTATTCAGGGAGTCCAGTGAAGGTTCACCAGACTGATTCCCGGGATGGCAGGACTGACTTATGAGGAAAGACTGGATTGACTGGGCTTGTATTCACTGAAATTTAGAAGAATGAGGGGGGATCTCATAGAAACATATAAAATCCTGTTTGGACTGGACAGATTAAATGTGGGAAGAATGTTCCCGATGTTGGAGAGGTCCAGAACTAGGGGTTACAGTCTAAGAATAAGGGGTAAGCCATTCAGGACTGAGATGAGGAAGAATTTCTTCACTCAAAGAGTTGTGAACCTGTGGAATTCTCTCCCACAGGAAGCTATTGGGGCCAGTTCATTAGATATATTCAGGGAGCTGGATGTGGCCCCTGCGGCAAAAAGGATCGAGGATTATGAGAAGAGATAGTAGGAACTGCAGATGCTGGAGAATCCGAGACAACAAGGTGCAGGGCTGGATGAACAAAGCAGGCCAAGCAGCATC